GCCCCGGAGAGCACACAGGACCACACAGCAGACACACAGCCACGACACACAACCACACGCACACACACCACACACGACGGACGACGCGACCGAGCCGGCGGCCAACACCACACACACACCACACACACACACCACACACCAGACACCACACACACATACCACACACACACCACACACCACACAGACACCACACACACATACCACACACCACACACACCACACCACAGACACACACCACACACCACACACCACACACACCACACAACCACACCCACACCACACCCACACCACACACAGGCACACACACACCACACACACCACACATCAGACACACACCACACACACGCACACACACACACAGAGGCCAGGAGTCTGACTGGTAATTCTTACACTTTTGCCAGCATGACAGGCTTCTGGTTTCCCTTCCCCCGGGGGACCCAGTGACCCAACTGTAGCAGGACAAGCCGCAGACAAAACCCCTCAGACACCCAGTTACAGAAGGAAGAGCTTTATTCGACCGGGAGCTTCGGCAAGACTCACGTCTCCAACAACCGAGCTCCACGAGTGAGCATTTCCTGTCCCTTTTAAGGGCTCACAACTCTAAGGGGGTGTACGTGAGAGGGCCGTGATCGGTTGCGTGAGCAGGGGGTACGTGACTGGGGTCTGCACGCACCGGTAATCAGAACGGAACAGAACACGGCAGGGATTTTCACGGTGCTTTTCTGCACAATGCCTGGAATCTATAGATAACAGAACCGATTAGATCAGGGATCGATCTGTAACTACCAGGCCCAGGGTGTGACGCCGGGCTGTCTGCCTGTGGATTTCATTTCTGCCTTTTAGTTTTTACTTCTTTCTTTGGAGGCAGAAATTGGGCATAAGACAATATGAGGGGTGGTCTCCTCCCTTACAACTGGCGGCACCACAGCCCTGAGGGCCAAGCCGCAACACAAAGGAAAGTTCCTCTTTCCGTTCTGGCCAAACTCCGTGTGAGAAAACGTAGACAACAGCCACTCTGCTTGGCACCCAGTATCACACTGGCAAGGCTCAAACTTGCCCCCGTCATCCTTAGTCCAACCTCCAACCAGGAGTTTCAACACGCGTTCTCTGGGCAAGACGGCTGCCCTGAGGGATAGAAAAGATAAAAACGGGAAAGGAGAGAGAGAAAAGCATTGCCTGTGGCACGGTGGGGAAGACAAAGGCTCAGGGAGGCCAGAGAAAGGCCCGCCCACTGCAGGACACTGAGGAGCTCAGGACTTTTTCCCGCCGTCCCATCAGCTCTCAAGTTTCCCTTTTCGGGAAGGAAAAAGCTCCCACGTCCCACGATCCTGTCCGTGCCTAACCCTGTCACCCACGGCCGTCAGCAAAGAGTGCCAGGCAGATTAACCCCGAAGAGAATAGCCACTAACATCCCCTGGGGCCGAACCCGTTCTCAGCCAGGAGGGACTTTTCCCAGAGGGACTCTACTGAGAGGGGCCTCTAAGCCCCTAAATCTTAGAACGGACCCGACCAACCCTCCTGGGGGGGCCTCTAACCCCAGGTGGGCCAAGCATCCTTGCCTCTTACTAAGAGTGGCCTTTCGCGCTGTCGGCCTTGGCCTCTCACCCAATCCCATCCTTTCCCGGCTACCCCACCACTCACCCAGAGTCGTCCGATCAGGGCTGAGTCTGTTTCCTTTGGGTTGGGGGCTCCTCCTCAGTGTTGTCCCTTCAGGGATCGCCAGAAAGATGTGCCCGGACCCCACCCCTTACCCAAAGTTAGCCTCTAGGTCTTGGGTTTCCGCACCGTGGCCCCTCCTGTGGTTTCCAGAAATACATCACTGGGCCCCACCGCCTACCCAAAGTTAGCTTTTGGGTCTGGGGTTTTTCTTTCTTTTTTTTTTTTTGAGACGGAGTCTTGCTCTATGCCCCAGGCTGGAGTGCAGTGGCGCGATCTCGGCTCACTGCAAGCTCTGCCCCCCCGGGTTCACGCCATTCTCCTGCCTCAGCCTCCCGAGTAGCTGGGACTACAGGCGCCCACCACCTCGCCCGGCTAATTTTCTTGTATTTTTAGTAGAGACGGGGTTTCACCGTGTTAGCCAGGATGGTCTCGATCTCCTGACCTCGTGATCCGCCCGTCTCGGCCTCCCAAAGTGCTGGGATTACAGGCTTGAGCCACCGCGCCCGGCCAGGTCTGGGGTTTTTCTTCTGTGGTCGCCAGAAAGATGTTACAAGAAAGGGGTCCCGATCCAGACCCGAGAGAGGGTTCCTGGATCTCGTGCGAGAAAGAAATCAGGGCGAGTCCCTAAAGTGAAAGCAAGTTTATTAGGAAAGTAAAGTAATAAAGATTGGCTACTCCGTAGACAGAGGGGCCCCGAGAGCTGCTGGCTGCTCATTTTTTCGGTTATTTCTTGATGATACGCTAAACAAGGGGTGGATAATTCTTGCCTCCTCTTTTAGACCATGTAGAGTAACCTCCTGACGTTGCCGTGGCATTTGTGAACTGTCAGGGAACTGGTGGGAGTGTAGCACTGAGGACGGCCAGAGGTCACTCTCGTCACCATCTCGTCACCATCTTGGTTTTGGAGGAATTTGTCCGGCTTCCTTACTCCAAACTGTTTTATCAGCAAGGTCTTTGTGACCTGTGGCTATTGCCAACCTCCTGTGTCATCCTGTGCCTTAGAACGCCTTAACCACCTGGGGATGCAGCCCAGTAGGTCTCAGCCTCGTCTTGCCCAGCTCCTCATCAAGATGGAGTTGCTCCGGTTCACACGCCTCTTACAGAACAGTCTCTGCTGTTTCGCCCTCTGGACCAGCCAGAGCATTTCTCTCGCTGTCTCTCCACTCTCCCTGGGACGCCGCTAGGTCTCTGCTCCTGAGACTAGGGTGTTCACCTTGGAGGCACGTGGAGTCCGTTTTCCCCATTGTGTGGCTGTGGGCCTGGTGCTAGTGAGGCAGCAAAACGAGGCCTGGAGACAGGGAAGGTAAGACCGATTCACACCTCAGGTATGACAGGAAATAGCCTCTCCACAGGGCCTGCCCCCAGTAAATGACTCTGTAACTTTATTTCATCCTCCATAAGGCCTACACCCAGTCAATAACTTTGTAACTTTACTTCATCCTCTCCATTTACATAGGGCGTACACCAAGTAACCAATGGAATCTTCTAAAAGGTATTTAAACTCCCCAAAATTCTGGAACGGGGCCCTTGAGCCCCACGCTCTGACCGGTCCCATGCTGTGGTGTGTGCTTTCATTTCCAGTAAATCTCCTCATTCCTTCCTTCCTTTGTATGTTTTGTCCAGTTCTTTGTTCAAGACGCCAAGAACCTGGACACCCTCCACGGGTAACGATATGAAATTCATATTCCCCCAGCGGCTCTGCCCTTTTTAAAGAAGAGAGACTTCGGGTGTTACTTTACCTCTACAGGGGCCAAAAGGCCCCCCCAGGCTGGGAGCAGAAGGCCCAGCCCAGCTGCTATTGGTGGGCGTCACTCCGCACCCAGGCCACAGAGCAAAAGACGCTCAGAAAGGTCTCTTTCTAAACACATCAAAACCCAGTTTTGTTTTTGTTTTTTGGCTTTTGTTTTGTTTGTTTGTTTGTTAAAGCAAAACACCCATTTCATCTCAGACTTACTGCAGGAGAACCAGCAAAGCCCTGTGTCTGCCCAGGCACGTTCCTATGGAGAAACCCCAACTGGTTTCCAGGGCAGGAAGCCTGGCCCAACTGTGTGGACTGTGCCAGGGAGTCGGCCTCAGGCCAGGCACGGAGCCGGCCCCAGAGGCCGGGGTGAAACACAAGCTGGGAGCTGCCAATCAGAAACAGAGCAACCGGACACTGTTTTCATGACGAGATTCTGGGTTTTTCCCTGATGTTTGTTTCCTGGGTTTTTTGCTTTGTTTTGTTTTTCCCTTCCCAGTATTTCTGGACTTGAACTTTAGAACTTCAACTTCTCTGAGGTTTAGCTTGGCGGGAGGAGGGTGATTAATTATTGTATCGTAATTTCTCCTACGATACTGGATTTGGGAAAGGGTATAGATCTTAATTTGGCATTCTGAATTGCTTGCGTTTGATTAAAAGCCTGACTTCTATCATTTGAGTCCAGCCCCACGGGGCTTGGCGGGTGTTCTCACCATGTGTGGAGAGATCGTAAGAAATAAATACACAAGACAAAGAGATGAAGAGAAAACAGCTGGGCCCAGGGGACCACTACCACCAAGATGCGAAGACCGGTAATGGCCCTGAATGGCTGGGCGCGCTGATACAAGACAAGGGGTTAGGGTAAGGAGGGTGAGTCGTCCAAGTCATTGATAAGGTCACGCAAGTCACTACATGATCATAGGACGGCGGCCCTTCCTTATAGGCAGCCGAAGCAGAGACGGAAGGCAGCATACGTCAGCGTTTTCTTCTGTGCACTTATAAGAAATATCAAAGACGGCCGGGCTTGGTGGCTCACGCCTGTAATCCCAGCACTTTGGGAGGCCGAGGTGGGTGGATCATGAGGTCAGGAGATCGAGACCATCCTGGTAACACGGTGAAACCCCGTCTTCGTAAAAATACAACACATTAGCCGGGCAATGCGGTGACGCCTATAGTCCAGCTAACTTGGAGTGAGGAGAGAAGGCAATGAAACCCAGGGGTAAGCTTGCAATTGACCAAAGATCGTTCACTGCACAACAAAGTGGGACTCTGTCTCAAAAAAAAAAAAAAAAAAAAAAAGAAAGATCAAAGACTTTATTTCTTCTATCGTTACCTTCTATGAACTTCAAAGAGGAACCAGGAGTACGGGAGGAACATGAAAGTGGACGAGGAGTGTGACCACTGAAGCACAGCACCACAGGGAGGGGTTTCGGCCTCCGGATGACTGCGGGCAGGCCTGGGTCATATCCAACCTCGCACAAGAAGCTGGTGGAGCAGAGCGTTCCCCGACTCCTCCAAGGAAAGGAGACTCCCTTTTGCGGTCTGCTAAGTAACGGGTGCCTTTCCAGACACTGGCGCTACCGCTTGACCAAGGAGCCCTCACGCGGCCCTTATGCGGGCGTGACAGAAGGCTCACCTCTTGCCCTTCTAGGTCACTTCTCACGACGTCCCTTCAGCACCTGACCCTATACCCGCCGGTTATTCCTTGGTTATATTAGTAATGCAAGAAAGAGTAATATTAAAAGCTAATGATTAATAATGTTCATGCTGATTGATAATGTCCATGATAAAAGCTGATTAATAATGTTTATACTATTGATAATGTTCATGATCACCTCCATATCTAATTTGTATTCTGACTGTTCTTACTCTATTTTCTTTATTATACTGAAACAGTTTGTGCCTTCGGTCCCTTGCCTCGGCACCTGGGTAATCCTCCGCCCACACTATCGCATGCCCTGAATAACGGGGTTAAGAACAATTTGGGGTGGCAAACAGGGTAAGAAGGGCACAGGGGGCTCAAAACACAGGGAGTTAGTTTAACAGCGGTCCAGGTCTAGGGTCTAAGGGGTGGAGGGAACTGTAGGCTGGGCCTGGAGCTCGGGGAAGGGAGCTGAGGTGGACTTTAGGAGTCTGGTGGGTTCTTCCTGTGCACAAACGGGCAGGATCTGAGCTTCCCCATCTAGGAATGCAGCCCAGTCGATTTCAGCCTCATTTTACCCAGCTCCTAATCAAGATGGAGTTGCTCTGGTTCAAACGACTAGCTTCACCACCTAGGGGGTGAACCGGCCACAGTTCCCCGGAGGCCATCAGAAGACAGAGCCCCTGGGTCAGAAGCAAGGACGGCTGACTTCTCTGGCAAGGAGGTGGCCAAGGGAACCGCTTCTGCGGCGGCTTCCCAAGCCCCAGCTCCCACAGGAAGCCTGGAGGACCGGGGGAACCGTGCCACGCAGTGGGTGGCGGCAGGAGCCCAGCCCGGGGCCGCATCTTCCCGGACAAGGACTCTGCCCCGAGACACTGGCTGCCCTCGGCGCCGGGGAGGCCTCCCAGGGCTGTGCCAGGAAAACACCCCCGAACCGACGGCCCGGAACCGAGCGGGGCGGGGCGTTTCCCAGACCGAGAAAAACAACCCTGAAAACGCGGCCCGGGACGGATGGGTGTGGGGCGCTCCCAGCTGCTCCCCAGGGATGGAGGGGGAGGACGTTCCAAAGGTGGGGGGCGGGTCTGCGTTTCGAGCCCCCAGACACGCAGCGCTCGGAGGAGCGTCCCGCCCGTCTAGAGCCCCCTCCTCCTCAGCAGGGCCAGGGCGCAGGGGGTCTCCCCGCACCCAGCCCGTCCCGCCCCGAACACAAAGGGCTCTGCCCGCCCGCGCTCCCACGAGGCGGCCCCTCCCCGCTTCCGGCCCAGGCGCGGTCGTCACTTCGGGGAAACGGAGAAAGCGCCTGGGGGGCGGGGGGCGGGGGGCGGGTTCGGACGCTGCCAGGGCGCGGCATCCCCTGTCCGTCCCCCCCTTCCTGGGACCTCTGGCACGCCCCGGACCTTCCCACCGCGCAAGCGCGGCCCCCGGCAGACCCGCCCCCCAGATGCTCGGAGACGCTCCGCCCCGGCCCCGCAGGCCCCGCCCTCTCCCCGCCCAGGCCCTCCGGCCCCGCCCCTCCGGCGAGAGGACCCGAGCCCGGCCCCGCCCCCTTCCCCGCCCCTCCGGCGAGAGGACCCGAGCCCGGCCCCGCCCCCGGCCGCGCCCCTCCGGCGAGAGGACCCGAGCCCGGCCCTGCGCGCGCCTCCCGGCCGTTCGGGGCCCTGCGGCGCCACCTGGTGGCCGTGCCGGCAAAACGCGCCCTCCGGGAGGGGCGAAACGGGGCCCGCGGGGCGGGGGTCGCTCCTGAGGAGGCGCCGCGGCCTTCGCCCCCCAACCCGTTAGCCCCCCGGGACGCCGGGGGCCGGGACGCTGAACCCAGATTTCGACGGACTCCGGTCCTGATGGTCCCCCGAGTATTTCTGGTCAAACCGAAGCCCACATCAGGCCCGAGCGGGAGTTTGTGCTTCCGCTGCGCTGTCCCGGTTCGCCGGGGGCGGATGGAGGGGACCCCGCGGAGACGCAGGGTCGGACCCCAGCAGCCCGGGGCCCCGGTCTCGTTCTTCCAACAGAGCGCAGGGCGGTGCCCAGGGCGCTGGAGCCACGCAGGCGGCGTGGACCCCGGAGCCCCTGAGGCCACCCACCCCTGGAAGAGGAGGCCGGGAGGGCGCGCAGGGCAGGGAAGACCTGGCGGAGCCTCAGGTGCCGCAGGGAAAACGCAGACCCTAAGCCACCAGCACGGGGGAATGGAAAGGCCTGGAAGCACCGGGCTAGGCCCGGCAGGACAGGGGCACCGGGGGAGCGGGGGAGGCCCCGGGGGGCGCCGAGGGAGAAGGAGGGGCTGGTGCGCACCCCAGGGAGGGACCAGAGGAGGGTCAGGGCCAGGCCTGGGGGCGCTGTGGGGACCCAGGAGCGGGCCTGGCCCAGGGGAATGTCGGTGCCGGGAGCCAGCGCGTCTGGAGGAGGCGCAGAACAAACCTCCCGCCACCGCGCGGGTGTCCAGGGGCTCAGCGCGCAGCAAACTCACAGGCGCCGCTCCGGGAGCCCGCGGTGGGCGCGATCACCCCGGGTCACCCTCACCCGCTCGGCTGCCTGCGTGGGGGCCACAGGCCCGGCCACCAGGACTCAGGGCCCACAGCGAGGCCTCTCCCAGCAGCTCTACCCGGGGCTGAACCCACTCCTCGGCCGGGCCCCCCGACTGCAGGTCACACACTCTGGCAGGCTGGGAGCCCCCCGCCCCCGCGCATTTGTCCTGCGCAGGGAGACCGACTCTGCCGCCCTGTGAGTCACACAGGGGCACCCGGGTTGCATCTCCAGTGATCCTCGGCCTCCTTTCCCAGGTCCCCACGGTGGCATTAACCCAGACACAGCCGGAGGTGCTCCTCCTAACTCAGCCAGGAAGAGACTCAGGCGGTTCCCCAACCCGGCCCGTTACGCATGGGGGCCTCCCAGGCCTGCTGACCTAGGGCTGGGGTCCTGGCCGTTGTCTCGCTGCCAGGGAACAGCCCTCACCCTGCTGCCTGGAGCCACGAGTCGGCCCCACCCTGGGAGCCCAACGGAGGACACGGAGGAGGTTCAGGGGCAATTATTATAGGCAGTGTGGCCAGAAGGCATCCCCATCCCCAATGGAGAGGCATCGAAAGGCCGCCCTCCCCAGGACACAGCCGCTCCAGTGGGGATTTGTGGTTGAACTTGTTTGGGACCCGGTGCATTGCTTTGACCCAAGCCACAGGGCAGCCTCACACGCTGAGCATTTGCGGCCTCCGTTGCTGGAGCCGTGGTGTGCACCTGTAATCCCAGCTCTGTGGGAGGATCTTTTGAGACCAGAGTTAGAGACCAGCCTGGTCAACATAGGGAGACCCTGTCTCAGTGAAAAATACAACAATTAGCTGGGTGTGGTAGGGGCTGGTGGCATGTGCCTCTAGTCCCAGCTACTCAGGAGGCTGAGATGGGAGAATTGCTTGAACTCAGGAGGTCGAGGCTGCAGTGAGCTGTGTTGGCACCACTGCACTCCAGCCTGAGTGACCGAGTGATGATATAGGAGTTAAAAAGAAATTATTTAGGCAGGCAGTGAGGGTAAAGAAGTCCTCGGTAAGGTTTTCCTTTTAATGAAAAGCAGCCCCCAAATCATTTTCTTTTCTAACAAAGAGCAGCTGGAAAAATCCAGCTGCAGACATAGACAAGCAAGCTGGAAGTTTGAACAGGTGAATACTGACAGCTATGCCAATAGGAAAAGGCTACCTGGGACTAGGCATGATCAAAATGACAGTTCCATTTTCTCTTCCCTTTGGCAGCCATGTGTACAGTAAGGAGCAGACAAGATGGCGCTGGTAGGCTGGGCGCGGTGGCTCACGCCTGTAATCCCAGCACTTTGGGATGCCGAAGTGAGTGGATCATGAGGTCAGGAGATCAAGACCATCCTGGCTAACACGGTGAAACCCCGTCTCTACTAAAAATACAAAAAATCAGCCGGGCGTGGTGGTGGGCACCTGTAGTCCCAGCTACTCGGGAGGTTCAGGCAGGAGAATGGCATGAACCCAGGAGGCAGAGCTTGCAGTGAGCCGAGATCGTGCCACTGCACTCCAGCCTGGGCGACAGAGCAAGACTCTGTCTCAAAAAAAAAAAAAAAAAAAAAAAAAAGAAAGAGAAGACAAGAAAATTACTTCAACTTGATAAAATTCATCTACCCAAAAATGTGCAACTAACATCACACTTACTGGTGAGACTGTAGATACTGTGCCCTAAGAGAAAGAGCAAGACAAGGCCATCTGCTCTCACCATTCCTATTCAGCATCGCACTGGAAACCCAGCTTGATGAAATAATACAGGAAAAGGAATAAAATGTGTATAGGTTGGGAAGGAAGAAGTAAAACTGTCTTTGTTCACAGAAGACATGACTATCTGTGTAGGAAATCCCAAATAATTATCTGTAAAACTCCTGGAACTGATAAGTGATTATAGCAAGACTGTAGGATACAAAGTAATA